GAAGGGAATCTGGGTCGCATACTCCTCGTTTTCTCCTTGCCCTTTCCCGCCAGCGTGCTCCTCCTTCTTGACTTCCTCCTTTAGCTCCTGGTACGGGTCGGCCTGCGAGTTGCCCTTGGCTGGCGGATTCGGCGTAGCATGGGGCCCATAGCTGGATGGCGCAATCGGCGTAGTCGGATCTGGCTGCGCTGGCGGCGGCGTCGGGGAACGCTGTGTGCGGCCGTGGCTGGGCGGGGTCACCTCCATGGGATGGTCTGACTTCGGTGTCGTTGCGACGGGCGTCGGCGCCACTCCCGACGGAGATGTGGGTGGCGTCGCTGGGACTGGAACATCGGCGGTTGTGCCAGGCATGGGGGATACGGCCTTCGGTGCAGTCCTGGCTTCTAGCACCGGCCCTTGACCCCCCACGCTTGCTGCATGCTGCATGCCTCTGACTGTCATGCCGAGCTGGACGATCGCTTCTTCTTGCTGTGATGACCTTTCCATCATCTGCCTCATCATCATGATCATCTGGTTGAGCTGGCCTGGAGGAGCAGCCGGCGCTGGCTGTGCCGCGGCCGCAGCGCCCATGCCTGCGTATGCAGGCGGTGGCGGCGGCGGCGGCTGCCAAGCGCCCTTGCCCGACCCCGCTGTGCCTCCTCCACAGCATGCGGCCATGCCAGGCTGCATGGGAGGCTGGGGGGGCGGCGGCACCGGCATGGCTCCTCCAGGCGGGCCTGGCCCAGGCCCATGTGGCATGTGCTGACCATGCCCTTGATGGTGTGCGACTGGAACACGCTGAAGTGGCACTCCAACTCCAATCCATTCACCGTCAACTTGAATGTCATCTGTCTCATACTGCTCAAGCTCTTTGACCTCTGCGATATTGTTCTGGATGGCCTCTAGTTCGTTGGATAACTGTCGCTCGTCATCTTGCAACTTTGAAATGCGCTCACGAGTGGAGCGCAGCCGATCACACGCTGAATCTCTCATCTGTCGCAACTTGGACAATTGAGTAGTGACCTTATCCGTGCTCTGTACCATGAACTTGAGGCATGCTAACTCCGCTATGATACCATCGTTGGCTTTGTCCGCCTCACGAGCAGCAATGGCGAGTGAGGCTAGGCTGTCCATGCGCTTGTATATCCTGGTCTTGAACTCTTTGACTGCCGTTGGCTCGGTCGGTGGCTCTTCGTATACGGCGGCCCAGGGCATGGAGCAACTCTCCGCCCTGGTGATGGGAACAATGCGTGCGATAAAGGCGCGCAACTGCTTTGTCATCTGCTGGAACTCCGTTCCTTTGCCCTTTCCCGTGCCTCGCCCCTGGCTGGGTGCTCTGGGTCGCGGCACTTCCTGGAGATTACGTCCGTTGGCATTCATGAATGTTCCATTCTGTTGATAATTATTGTCGAAGTGCTGCCCGCATAAACATTTCCAATGATATCCTTTTACAGTTCGATGGCATCTCTCACAATGCCATACTTGTCCAGGCTTTGGCCCAGCTGCCCTCGTCGGGAACATGTCTGGCTGCTTCTGGGCTGAATGATGTGACCGAAGGATCTCACCTGCGCGTAGCGTTCTCAATAGGGTCCTTG